CATTCATCATCATCCTGAAGAAGAGACAAACGAATGCAAGCTTCTTTGAAGCTACTACAAATACAACTGTTTACTGTCTTTAGGTTATCAAAGCTAGTTGCACCTTTAACGCGGGTTAGTAAGGTGCGAAGGTAATATCTTTCACCTTCCAAAAGCTGCATCATATAAAGTCTTCCAATCGCAGATGCCCCATTCTTACGGGAGTTCCACATATGGTTAGTCTCATTCCAAGTATAATGAACAGGAAACTCTTCATAAGTGTATGCATGGGCTGCAACATCTTCTAAGTTTGCCTGAAACCAAGCCGTCAGGGTCGTTTTATGTAAGTTAGCATGATCTATAATACATTGAAGATCTTCTCCTTCCCGGAAAGTAATAGACTGTTGATCTGGAAGATGAACAGCAAGCCGTTATACTGTTGGAGAGCGACCATGCATCTTGTAATGGAAAATCCTCCAAATGCTTTCAGAAGACAAAACGTATCTTGCGTCAAGATACATTTTGATCTCATCAACAGGTTTAGTACGATTCAATTGTCCATTATTGAGAGCTGATTGATATAAAGCTATTGTAGCATGATCATGACCCTTGTATACATATTTATACAGGTACTTAATGGATAAGATCGAGTTGCAAATTTTTACGTTTATATGGGCATTATATTTCGTCACTAAATCAACATTATGTGGTATGACCCATCGGTTATCCAATTGAACACCATTTCTTGTTTTAACATAATGGCCATCATCGCGTCTTCGGTAAATTGGATAACTATTATTATCTTCTCTAGTAGATTCATTAAAATTCTTAGGGTAATGTTTCTGACATACATTATCTTTCATACATGGTGAAGAAGGATTCATAGCATCACACGGACCATGCATCATCATGGTTGAAACAGTCTCATATGCAAGTAGATGTATCAAAGGGTTTGGAATTTCAGCAGAGACAATGGAGTCGTAATCATCTGTTGTTCGCAACTTACTCTCTGGGGCTAATATAAGTAAGAAGTGGGCATGTGGCAAACCATGTTTCTGAAACTCTATCACATATATATATGCTATAACTTTACTAAGACAATTTTTTTGTAATAGATCTTTCAAAAACTCCTTTAATTTCATATGAAATACGTGAGCAGTTAAGTCAGGACGATCAATAGCACTTTGATGAGGTTCTAACTCCCTGGTGATTTCCGGCCATTTGGAATTGCAAGTGAATATTACAAAAAGATCAGGCTTACCAAAGCAACTCACAATGGCCATTGCATCTTGGTACAGCTGATACATTTGGCGTGGACTACCAGCAAACGACAACGGAAGGATTATACGATGACCAACATCATTACTGTCCACAGCATGTAATGCATCCGATATACCATTATATAATTCAGTACGTAAGGATTCTTGATTTAGTTTAAGGTAATTCAAGCATTCCTGTTTTATCTTAGCGTACTGGTCAATGATATACTGCTGGTACAAACGGCCTGCATTATGAATCCAATCTCCATCTCTAATCTGCAGCCTATATGAATAGAATTGCATTGTTGACACTCTTTTTCTTTTCTTAGAATCTATAAGGGGTATATCCACATGCCAACCATCATCACCTTGCGGAAATAACAACACATAATGAAGGGGGTCATAGGATGGATGAGTCTCTGATATTCTTTGTAGACTTCCATCGCGCATCCTAAGAATAATGTCACGATTTGTTGCATGCAGCTCATGACCATCACCAAGCATGATTGCAGCAACTTCAGAAGCTGAAGGAGCATTATATCAACAGGGATCTCGTGTTCGATCTTCATGAATAACCATTATAATTTCATCGGGCACATTTGTTTGGATAAGACCTCTTACGCGACGAAAGTTTTGGATATACAGATTGCATTCATCCAATACAGTCAGCAGATTTTATAGAATGGTATCGTCTAAGTCTGCCATAATGTTATGACGATGTGCATTCTCATATACAGAGTCATAGATATATAATTGCGCAAATGCCAGCTGAGAACCTTCTTCTGGTAGCAACGAATCAATACGATGATAAACTTGGCCATGAATACAGAAGTCAGAAATGCCTTATCCTGGGATCGTATTTATATTAGCACCAAACGATGTACACACCAAAACATTATTATAACGTCTAATGGTTTTCTAGAAAGAGATTGTATCAGAGTTTGACGAAGTATACAAATTCAACAAATAAGGAGGGGGTTCAACCAAACGTGGCAAACGAACTTTGCTGTGTGCACAGCAAGTCGAAAATGTAGGATATGCAAAAGAGCTATTCCGATTCTTTTCCTCCATCCAAAACTTAGTATCACAATGGATGTAGGTTTGATTCATTCAGCCTAAATCATTTCGTTTTATCCCATTATTTATAATTATCCTTTCACTGGTAATATTGACATTTTGCCTCTTTCTTGAACAGACTTGATTCTCTTTAGGTAAACAATTCTGACGTATACCAGATGGCTCTACTTCTTGTTTAGGTCGCAGGCGCGTTTCAGGTGGGCAATTTTCATCATTGACAATTTTTCTCCTTTTTTGAAGACTGGCCTGTCTTTCTTTAGCTAATCTCTTTCGACGTATTTCAGGTGACTCACTTGCTTCTGACATCAGAATAGTAAATCAGAGGGTCAGAAAAAATAATGAGTTACAGCATATACAGAAGTAAAAAATTCAAAAAAAAATCACGATTTTAGAAACACAGGATACGCGAATAGATACTTGGTATATACTAAAATTTATTTTTAAAAGTCATGTAATCACAACATAAAATTTATTCACAAATCACAATATATAAAATTTATTTTTTAAGTCGTTAAATTTAAAAGTCAAATAAATGCATACATAAAATAACAGTTTACACGCGTATATAGTTTACACTATATAGTTTAATCCAAATAATCACGTTATATACAGTTAGGTTCGTTATCCAAAAGGAAAGATTGCACATTTGTTTATTTAATTCATTTCAAAAGGACAGTTACACACGTATAAATTAATAGTCTAAACGTGACGGTTACATACATATAAATTAATAATCTAAACGTTACGATTTCACACAAATTTTTTTAGTATATTATAGATTTATTATTTTTATGGAATTTTTATATTATATTTTTATTGAAATTGTTATTATAATAGATTAGACTAATTATTAGTAATTTTTTTTTAGTCAAAATCTACAAAGTTATTTAAAGTTTACTTTTTATGCTATTCTTTAATTCTAATATAGCACTTTAAAGATGATTTTTGTAAAGATTTTTTTAAGTATAAAATTTTTATAAAGATTTTATATATTTATTTTTACAGTATAATGTAAAATAAAAATTGATTTTAAAATATAATGCAAATAATATATTAACTAAAATTATACTAAAAATTAATTATTACAAATATAAAATAATTATTATATAAAATATTGCAATCAGTTTTAAATAAATGTATTATCTAAATTGTTTATCTAAGAATATTAGAGTTTTTGGTTTAATAAATTAATTTAAAATATAATAAGTTAACAATTTATTTACAAAGTTATTATAATTATTAAAATCTTTGTTAATGATGATTAATACCTCTAAAATTTAAGATTTTTGAAAAAGATTTTTATTTTTTTCTATTTATATCTTTATTTTATATATTTTTTAGAAGTTATTAGTTTATTATTTTTGAATACACATTGTTAATTAAAAAATATTTAAAAAATATGAATATAATTTAATATTCAAAAATTTTTAAATAAAATTCTTTAAAATAATATTAAATATGTATTAATATATCTTATGATAGATTTATTATTACACTTTATTCTAAATTTTGTAAATTTATAAAGATATTATAAATTGTAAGAATATACACATAATGCATTGTAAAAAGTTTTTTCTCTTTATATTTCTTGAATACTAAGTATCTAATCTTTGTAAGTAATTTATGATTCTTAAAAGTTTATAGTATATAGTCTGATTTTTCATAAATTTTTTATTTTATAATTTTTATAGATTATGTATTATTATTAATATAATTTAGATATTATTACCAAAAGTTATAAACATTACATGTTAAATACTAGATGATAAATTATTATACTTATTATAAAATTTTATTTTAAGCTAAAATAAAATTAAAATTAAATTTTTTAGTAATAATATCAAATTTTAAAATTTCACTTATTTTTAGAAGTAATTTGTTTTCTAATATTGAAATCTAACTATTTTTTTTTTAATACATTTAATGAAATGATTAATATATTTTACAAGATATTTTCTAATTTTTACAGTATTTGATAGTTATCAAAAATAAAATTATCAGAAGTAATTATTTAGTAATTTCTTTAGAAGTACTTTATAGTTATAAATTATTATAAATTTTTGAAGATTAAAATAAAATTGCTAATATATTTAATAATTTACATTTTAAAAGAATTTGAAAGTTTATTTAACACAATAAATTTATTTAAAGACTTTTTAACTTAATAAACTTCAGATATATATTTATAAAGTTTATATACTAAAGTAATTTTTTTATAAACTAATTACATTGCATATTCAAATTTATTTTTTATTATATAAGTTAGATTATATTTTCTTTATTAATTTGCAGATTATCAGTTTGTAAATTATTAATCTATAGAATATAAGGTTTAGTTTTTAATATCATTATAATTAAAATTAATTTTGTCAAAATTATTAAGCTATTATTTTATTATGAGTCTATTTTTATTATCACAATAGTCTTTGGTATTAAATTTATATCCTTGATTATTATTATCATCTCTAAAAGTCAGGTTAACAAATTTATCATAGAATATTACTGATATCAGTTTTTTTATATTAATAGTATTAGTCACCCTTTTTAAAGTAAAAGTTAGCTTAGCTGATATACTATGAGTTCTCTTTCATAAATTAATAGTAATACTTATTGAAGTAGAACTAGAGTTTTAAATAGGTTATCAATCAAGTTACTTGAACTGAAAAAATCAGGATTTGATTTGATCTGATCTAATATAACTTAGTCTAATTAAATTATTTAAAAAAATAATGTATTATATTTGATTCAATTTAAAATTCTAATTTATTTTGTTATTTTTATTTTGCTTTTTCTATAAAAAATTGTATATAAAATAATATAGAAATTTTTAATTTGATAATTAATTACAATTATACAATTAATTATAATTATATAATTAATATTATTAAAAATTAAATTTTCAATTTTTTTTTTTAACTATTATATATATTTTTTCTTTTTTTAATAAAAAAAATACTTTAATTTAACATAATCTTCAAAAAAATAACTTTATTTTTAAACTTAAATACTTAAACTTATTAGAATTTTGTTAAATATAATTTATTTTTATTTTTTGTAGATTTTAATTTTTATATGTATTTAATATTATTTTTTAAAAATATTAATACAGTGATTTTATGATAAAAATTAAGCACTTTAATCAAAATTAATCATCTTATTTCTAAATAAAAGTTGTTTAGCAAATTTAATATTATTTATATCTAATTTTTATCAAGATTGATTTAATATTCATGCAATAATATTTTTTTTATAACTTTACTAAATAAATCACACTTTTTTGACTTCATAAGAAAATTTGAATACTTTAGTCAAAGTTAATCATCTTTTATTTTTAAGTAAAAGTCATTCAACAGGTTCAATACTATTTATATATAAATTTTATTAAGATTAATTTAATATTCGTTAAATAATAGTTTTTTGTAATTGTATTAATTCTTAAATTTTTTTGTTTTTTAAATATTTATTTGTGTAATTTATTAAATACTATATTAATATAAATATATATTACAAAATTACCACACTTTATAAAAAAAAGTATTGAATAATGTTTTACTATAATTAATTTTTTTAAAAAATTTATTTTATTGATTTTTAAGATTATATAAAATAATAATTTATAAAAGTTACAATTACTATTTTTTATACAAAATTTTATTTTTTTAAAAATATATATTTAATTATAATAATTAATAAAAATTAAAAAACTTTTATTAAGAGTAAAATTTACTTTGAATTTCATAAAATATATGCAAAAAAATACTTTATTTTCCTATCTATCTATTTTAACTTTTGCTTTATGCTTTTAATTTATTTATACATTCTTATAAATTGATGAATTATGTGATTTATTTATATTATATCTGATTATCTAAAAATAGCATATTATTTTTATTTATTTTATTTGTTTATTTTCTTTTATATTTTTAGAAGATTAATAATTTTAGTTTAGTTAGTAATAACTGAATTTCTATTGTGAATTACATTGTAATAATCATAAATTCAAATCTCAGCTGAGGAATAAAACTGAATGTTTTTCATAAGAATTTTATATATAATTAAATATGTAAATATATATACTTACTTATATATTTTAAAAACTAGTTGATCAATTTGTTGATTAGTATTGATCATACCTAAATACTGAATTTTGTAGAATAAGTGAATACAAATAAAATTATAGATTAACAGAAACTTGATTTTTATTAATAGGTCTGTAATAGATACTGTTTTATATTTTCAAATTCAGGGTTCCTTACATAAGTAAGAAAGTAATTAATTAGTAATTAATAGATTAAGTATTATTTTAGGTAGTTATAGTAATAATAGATTATATTGCTCTATTATAATACTATTTAATTGAGCTATTATTTAAAAATAGGTCTAAGTTCAATTTCTGAGTAAGTTTAATGATATAGATATGATAGCTACATACCTTTCTGAATTCTATATAGGATGAATATTTCTAAAGCCTTCTGATTATGTATAAAATATTCTGATATCAGGTAAAAGTTATAGTAATTTTGATTAATATTGGTAAAATAGAAAAAATGACGTAAGTACCTATAGCTAAAAGTGATCTTTCTATTCAAATTTGATAGTAATTCTAAAGTTTAAGATCTCTGGAGTTTAATATTCTAAGGTTGATATATAGTAGTGCTTAAAAGTATTACATCAATTAAATATAAATTTTAAAATAACATTTTCTTGTAAATAAAGAACTGGATAACACTTTTATAAGAGTGTTATTCAATTGCACTATAATATTATCTAATTATGAGTATAATATTACTTAGTTACTGTTTTTAGTATTCTATAGCCTTACTATTACTTTATTTAGTGTTCCTAATGAGTCGAGTCAAATCGAGTTTCAAGTTAAAATTATCTTATATACCTTTAATTTAAAGTATTTATTTATTATGTATAACTAAATTTACAATTATGCACAATCATACGAGTTAAATATGTGAGTTTATGTGAGTCATTTTTAGAACTCTAACTTTATTACTATCTATTTAATTTTATTACTCTATAGCTTTTTTATTGCTTTGTAGATATTTGCTTGATTTTATTGCTCTGTTCTCTTTTTATTCCTTCTAGCTATCTGCCTATTTTTATTATTATGCGGTCTTTTATAGCCAAGATATTAGGTTGATATTAATTACAAATAATCATGTTATGATTAGGTAATGCAGTTAATTTGTGAATCAGATTTTAGTTGACATTATGACATAATTTTTGACTGATCTTTAGAAATTAGCGTTATTATAACAACCTGGTAATGACTTGATAGTAACTTAATAGTATTC